ATCCCTAAATGAGTATGCTTCACAACAGATAAATTATTGAAATATTTACCTCTATTTTCCACCTCGCAATTTGCCGGGCACTAACTTTACATTCCCCAGATGATTGGTTGTTGATTTAGTACATTTCTGTTCAAGAGAAAGATAGTAAATCATGCTTTATATTCATAGGTGATTTTGATGCTCACCACCGAGACTGGCTGAATTCTGTCCCCAACTGACCGACATAGCATTTCTGCCTTAGATTTCAGATGTAGTTGGGTGTGAGCAGTTAGTCCGTGGTGCAACTCACAGGAGTGGTAATCTTTTGGACCTTTTACTAACTGATGTGAGAGGGGTTGATGTAAACCATCACGCCAATAGGTTCTTCCAACCACTGTAGTCTAGCATATAAGATCCAGCTGGACTTTCTTATATCAGATTTTACTCTAACTAGACAAGTCTTCTTAAAGTCTAGAATTAACTGGAATGGGGTCTATCATGCATTTAGTGCCACTGTTTGGCGAAATGTTTATAATGCTCCTTGTCATATTTAAGCTTTGAACCTGTTATTGTTGGACATCATAATGAGGTTTGTACCCAGCAAAACTGAAATTTCATTCATAAATCATGGGTTAATGAACAGTGTCACCAGGCTTATAGGGACAAACACGCTGACTACAATCTCTGGTCTGATAACCGTACTAGTCTTTGTTGGGAGAATTATGTTGCCACGCGAAATACAGCAACTAATGTTTATAAGGCTAAATCTGAAAACAATGCTCATTTGAAAGAAATTCTCTCAGAAGCCTCACAGCCTCATAAATGGTGGTCAACACTTAAAGCATCTCTGTTTTGTCTGAAGTCCTCCATTCCTCTCTTAATCAAACCTGATGGTAGTATTACATACAATCCGTTTGAGAAAGCTACCTTGTTTGCAGATTAATTTATATCAAAACAAAGTTTTGAAGATATTGAACTTCCTCCATCATGTCACCCTTTGCCATGCTTTAATTTATTTGCTTTCAGGTCCTCTGAAATCAATTATCTGTTATCAGAATTAGATGAATATGGTTGAGTAGACCCTAATGGCTTGATTCCTTTGATTTTAAAAAGACTAAATGGTCAATTAGCTCCCAAATTAGCCGTAATCCTATGCCTTTTAGTTCATAAAGGGTCATTTGGTAATATTAACCCTATTTCCAAGGGCCCACTACAGTCTTCACCTACTGAATATGGTCCCATTTCAATTACTCCAATTTTATCCAAGGTATTTGAACGTTTGCTGGTCAAACCCCTCTGTACATATGGGCCTGTTTCTTCCAGATTTTAGAAAGGGACTCGGCTGCAATGATGCAATGCTTATGTTGGTGCATGATATGCAGTCTGCTTTAGATAAGGGACATGTGTCTAGACTTGTCTTGCTGGATTTTAGTGCAGCTTTTGACACTGTTAATCACAAGGATTTAATTTTTAAGTTACAGATCTTTGGTGCTAGATACTTAATTTCAGAGGACCCGAAAGCAATTATTTTAACCGAATTTTTCCGTGTGTGTTCTGGGATTCCTCAGGGTAGTATTCTTGGCTTTTTGCTCTTTATTATATATACAAGCGATATGTGGTCTGGTATTACTAATAAAATGTTGGCATATGCTTATGATACTTCCCTCTATGCTGATATTCCTTCTCCGGTAATTAGGCAAATAGTAGCTGTCTCACTGGTGATGATTCAGTCGTGGCGCTCTCGGTGGGGCATAAAATTAAATCCTACTAAGTGTAAAGAAATGATTGTGAGTCGGTCTCGAACGCAGTTGCTTCAGCATCCAAGTCTACTGATTAATGGAGTCTGAATCACTTCAGTGGATAACCTGAACCTCTTAGGTGTAACCTTTAAGGGGACCGTCGAAAAAAAAAGCAGACGGTCCCCTTAATTCAAACTTTACTTTTGAATTGCATATTAGGAATATGGCTCGGGTAATTTCATCAAAGTTAGGCATCATTCGCAAGGGCAAGAAAATCTGTGAAGATGACAACATTACACGTAGGTGCTTCTTTTCTTTTATTCTGCCTCATTTTGAGTATTGTTCTCTTGTATGGTTGTCTGCTGCAGACTCACACTTAACAGTGCTTAATCGTTTTTTTCAATTCCATTAAACTTCTCCTGTCTGACTTAAATTTGGACATTGGACATCGTAGATATATTGGGGCTCTTTTAGTCTTATAAGATTGTAACCGATAATTCACATCTCTATAAGTTTTTACCTGATTTTTATCAACCTGCAAGAAGTACCAGTAGCTCTATGACCCTCAATTCAATGACATTTGATGTAAGTCGATCTGTAGTGAGTGAAATGCTGGAGTTTCCCCTCGTATCCCCTCAGCGTACACGATGAGGGTCTCCTCTACGCGGCTGCCAGCCCCAAACACCCGTGGCTTCAGACGGATTCACTGAACTCTCCTCTTTGGACATGCTTTTCGCTGACAATCTATCTTCATCTACTCTCCCCTCTGACGCGACCCGGTT